CCTCATATTCCTCCTGTCCAGTCTTTGAAGTCCACACTCCCCAAATCTCCGGTGCTGTATCCAACTGTCCCTGGGCACTCCTCCCCCTCTCTATGATGAATTCTAAGACAGGCTGGTGGTTTCCTCCCAAGGTTTCCAACATTTCTGCTCCAACCCTTCCAAGTTCCTCTTTGCCGATCACAATTGGGACCAGAAGAACAGTTCCTCTTGTCACTTCCTCAACCTTCTGAAGAATGAAATTGTCATCAAGGCAAGAATTATTGGCTCTTCTCCTTTGGACTCTGGCAGATGCTTGGCTAATTGAAGGGCTCCATCAAGGATGCTTCCGTACCACGTCTGTTACCTGTTTCCTGAGCTCCTGGATTTTTTCCCCCTTACATCCAGGTGGTCTGTAGTCTTCCTCCATAACCATATCATTTGATTGTTTTCCCTACTAATCTCTGTCTAAGTGCTCTCGCTGTGCTAACTGTCTTGGTTCCTGGATTTCCTCACAAGAGTATACAACTTCTTAACACAATACTATTCCATTTCCTCCTTTATCTATTTCTTTTTTCACTGGAAATTTTCAGCCAGTCAATTAGCATTTATGAAACACCTACTGTGTGCTAGACATGGCATTCAGTGCTGGGGATACAAAGAGAGGCATAAGATAATCCCTGCCCTCAAGGAGCTTACAATCTAATCAGGGAGACAACAAGCAAATAAATACATACAAATGTATTTGTGAGAGCTACACAGTGGTTCATTTTGTTTTGTTTTTCTGGTATTTTACATGTATCTGCTCCAGTATTGTGTTAAGTTTGGGGCATCTTATTTTAGGAGAGACATTAATTAATAACCTGGAGAATGCTCAAAGGTCAGTGAGGAAAGTACTGGCTCCTGGAATCGGAGGACCTGGGTTCAAAACACGCTTCGGATGCCTACTACTGGTGGGACCTTAAGGACACAATTTACTTGGGCTTCAATTTCCTCATATATAGAATAAGAAGGTTGGACTAGCGGGGTCTCTGAGGTCCCCGCCAGCCCTAGGTCTGGGATCCTAGCAGGGCCCTGGGAGTGGTGAAAAGCTTCAGGTTTGTTCCAAGTAAGGATCAGGTAAAGGACCTAGGGATATTTAGCTGATGGGGGGACATGATGGGTGGGGGATAGTAGCTGGCTATCCCTGCCACTGCTGAATCCCCCCCCCGCCCACCCCATTTTTCTCCATTCATCCTGGGTGTTCTGTTTGTCTCAGAACCTCAGGTTCAGTAGGGTGATGAGAGAAACCACACTGGAGTCAAGGGGAGCCTTGAGACCCTCAGGGAGGGGATGGTGGGGGTGACGGAGGGCTAAGGAAGGAATTATACCTACCAAGGGGGCTGCATAGGAAAAAGCAACCTCCCTCCCCAACCCTCACCGGATTTCCTTGAGTTAAAGCTGCATGGCATAGTAGGAAGGGACTTAGACTCAGAAAGACCCGAGATCAAATCCTGCCTCAGATACTTATTGGTTACATGACCCTTAGTAACCTCTCTGTGCCTCAGTTTCCTCATCTGTAAAATGAGCTGGAGAAGGAAATGGCAAACCGCTCCAGTATCTTTGCCAAGAAAACCCCAAATGGGGTCACAAAGAATCGGATGTAACTGAAACAACTAAACAAGGGTGCTAGGCACTGTTCAAAGCCCTGGGGGGAAAAAAAAGCAAGCAGTCCCTGCCCTCAATGAGCTTACATTCTATAGGAGTAAGGGTGGAGGTTAGACCATGTAAACAGTAAATATAGACATGATGGCTAACCCTGAACTGGAGTAGGCACAAAAGATAGAAAGACAGGCAGTTCCTGCCTTCAAAGAGCTTATGCTCTTTCTCTTCTCTAAGCTAATCATCCCGCACTCCTTCAGATGATCCTCTCACGGCATGGCCTCCAGCCTCATCATCTGGGTCCCCTCCTCTTGTTATTTTCTCTGTAGATAGTCCCTGTTAACATGTGCTGCCCATAATTAGGCAAAATAACACAGATGTGATCAGACCAGGGCAGATTAGGCCAGGGGAGGGGAACCTGAGGCCACAGGTGGCCTAGGTCCTCAAGTGCAGCACTTTGACTGAATCTAAACTTGGGATATGGTCTCTGAAGTCCTTCTAGCTTTAGATCTATAATCCTATGATATGGGTGGGGTGGTGTCTGGAGAGGGGAGGCAGGATTCCCCCCCCCCCCCCCCGCAGCCCCCATGGGCAATAAGGGATAACAGCTGTCCAGGTGCCAGCTGCCCATAGTAGGACTTCCAAGAATCAATTCAGAAAATGCCCTGGGCTGGGGCTGGGGGAGTGAGAGGACTCTTCATCATCTGGGATCATGCTGTTTCCAGCCCCTCCCCCCTCTAGAACCTGGGGTGGGGGGAGGGGAGCACCTCCAATCATACATTCTGGGCACGTTCTGTCACATCTCTTGTAGGCTTTGGGCCGGGTTTAGAACAGGGGTCTTTAACCTGTGATTTGTGAAGACATCATAGGACTCTATGACCTTGGATGGGGTGGGACAAGGAATACATCTTTATTTTCTCTGACCTCTAAAATTTAGCATTTTCTTCAAGTATTTAAAAACATTCATTCATTCCATAAAGTATTTATTAGGCACCTACTATGCGTCAGGCACTGTGCTAAGTGCTGGCGATACAAAAAAGGGCAAAAGACAGTCCCTGTCCTGAAGGAGCTCCCATTCTAGTGGGGGAGACAACATGCAAACAAATATATACAAACACCTTGTTCTACGGAAAATTATAATCGGATAAATTGGAACTGTGCAAAAACATGATTAAAAGAAGGGGTTTGTAGACTTCACCAGTTTGTCAAAGGAGTCCGTGACATTTGAAAGGGTAAGAACCCTGGCCTAGAAACTAGAATGCTCCCTCAGGGCAGTCCTTGACTAGACCTACTTCCTTCACTCTGCTGGGGAAATAGTTCCCCTCTCCAGACACCTCCCCCCACCAATATCATAGGATTATAGATCTAAAACTAGAAGGACTTCAGAGATCATTTATTCCAGCCCCCACCCCGTTTTACAAAGGAGTATGCTGAGGTCCAGAGAAATGAAATGTCTTGTCCAAAGCCAGGCTCTTAACAAGTGAGAAAGATGGGATTTGAACTTAAATCCTTTTACTCATCCTTTGATCAACCCACAGTGGTTCTCCTGCACCACCATGTCTCTAGAAGGCTCTCCTTCCTTCTTCCTAAATTTAGCTCTTTTACAAAAAGTCCAGCCACTCCCTGCACAGCTGGCTGTGGGCACCCCATTGTTACTGGTGGGGAAGAGGAGAGCAGGAGGCGCCTCTGACCCCGTTTCTTGGAGAACTTCTTCCTGGGTGCCAGGCAACCCCCACCGTAAACCCTCAAACTCCCCCACACAAAGGTGGGAGTGGCTATTGATCACCCCTGCAGCACAATTATGAATAGTGATGATAATAATTAATAATGCCTTTGACTTTTTCTAGCTATTTTTTTCAGAGTAATTTTGTATTTATTATCTCAATCTTCCCTATATCCTGAGGGAGTGGGGGGGGGGCATTGGCTGTGCCCTCCACCTCTTGGAGGGAAAGATTGACTAGGGATAGGGGTTGGGGAAATACCCATTGAACATATCTATAGTATCATAGATTTAGAGTTGGAAGGAACCTTGGAGGTCATCCAATTCCCTTCCCTCCCAATTTTACAGATGAGAAAACTGAGGCCCAGAGAAGTTAGGTGACTTGCCCAGTTCAGACAGGTAGTAAGCAACAAAGGCAAGATTTGAACCCAAGTCCTCCAATTTCTGAACCTATGGCTGTTTCCTCCTCTAATACTTTTTTTTGGGGGGTGGGGGTGGAGGGTCAGATCTGTTATTTGATTAGTCTGTTAGTTCTCAAACTTTTTAGCCTCAGGACCCCCTTATACGCTTAGAAATTATCGCACAACACCCTCCCCTCAAGAGCTTTTGTTTATGTGGGTTATATTTATTGATATTACTGTATTAGAAATAAAAGTGTTGTACTATTGTTATGAAAATAGTTTTGACCTTGAACATGCCTGAAAGTTCACTTTGAGAAGTGCTGGTGTAGGGAATTCCCAGTGAAGAAATCCGGGCTCCCAATGCCGGTAAGCATGTACTCTGTACTCTGCAATTTATAGTCTTAGATGGTTACCTGGAGTCCTGAGAATTAAGATTACTTCTCAGGATCACACAGCAAGCATGTATCAGAGGTGGAACTCGAACCCAGGTCTTCTTGACTTTGGAGGTTAGCCCTTAATCCATCATGCTGAACTGAGCTGAAAAAGAATCTGATCCTTGGTATTTGGTGTAGTGGATACAGAACCAGACTTGGCATCCACAACACCTGGGTTCATCTTGTGCCTCAGACGCTAGCTGTTTGTCCCTGGGCAAATCACTTAACATCTCTGAGAGTCATATTCCTTCTCTGTGAAATAATGATAATAATAGCATCACATCACGACTCACAGCTTTGTTGTGAGGATCAAATGAGATGATGTCTGTAAAGTGCTATATAAATGCCAGCTATTAAAAGTTCCTAGAAGGTGAGAGCTAAAGCTGGGACTTGGAGGTTGGCTAGTGCACCCTGCTCAGTTTTCAGACAGGAAACTGGCTGTGAGAGTTTAGGAGGGAGGGAGGGAAGAAGGAAGGAAAGGAGGAAAGAAGGAAGTAAAGAAGAAAGGAAGGGGAAGGGAGAGAGGCAGGTAGGAAGGAAGGCAGAAAGGAAGGCAGGCAGGAAAGAAGGTAGGTAGGAAGGAAGGAAGGAAGGAAGTGAAGAAGAAAGGAAGGAGAAGGAGAGAGGCAGGCAGGGAGGTAGGCAGAAAGGAAGGCAGGAAGGAAGAGAGGGAGGGAGGAAGGAAGGAAGTGAAGAAGAAAGGAAGGGGAAGGAGAGAGGCAGGCAGGCAGGAAGGCAGGCAGGAAGGGAGGGAGGGATGGAGGGAAGGAGGAAGAGAGAGGGAAAGAGAGTCAGTCAATTAGTAACCAGCATGTATTAAATGCTTACCATGTGCTGAGCCCTGCGTAAGAGCTGGAGAATCAAAGGGAGACAAACAGTCCCTGTCCTCAAAGAACCCAAGAAGGAAGGGGAGGGAGGGAGAGAGAAACAGAGAGAAGGAAGGAGAAAGGGAGGTCATTTTTCTTCAGAAAAGCCCTTCATTCTTCAGCATTCCTGGGGAGCCAGAGGTAGCTAGGCATCATCCATTGGCCCCGCAGCCGGGGAAGGCTGTCGGCCTCAGCCGGCCTCACACCTCCATGATGAGCTGACTGGCTTGCCAAGAAGTCTGACTTGCTGAATCCTGCCGTCTCCAGATGAAAGGGCTTCAGCTCTGCTCCGTACCAGGGCGGGCCTGTTGACGTTGGGGGAAACTTCCTGCTAAGCTGCCCTCCAGGCCCACGTTAGCTAAAATGCCCCTAAGATTGGCCTCCTCCTCTAAGGGCAATGGGCCACCAACAACAGGAAACGGGCCTAAAATGAAAGAGGAAGGCATTGGCTTAGACTGAAGGGCGAAGGTCCAGACTGGGAGGTTCCTGGGATCGCTGAAGAAGGTTGAAGAATCTTCCTTGCCCACACTGAGCGTGGAGGCGGGTGCTCCTCATCCCGCAAGGGTTGGCTCAAGTCTGCCACCTCCATGGAGCCTTCCCAGATTAGCTGAACCCACACCCACCTCTCATCTCTCCCCTCTGGTGCTCATAGCATTTAATGTGTGAGTCACACTCTTTAGTACTTAATTATATTCAATTTGACACTTCTTTGCATACTGTTATATAACTGATTCCTAGTGATTTCTGTGTCTCTTCTTTCTTAGTAGACCTGAGTAAGGGGTATATAGGGCCTGTGAAAGAGCCCTGGATGCGTAGAATGAGAGGACCTTGATTCAGGTCCCGACCCTGCTGTGTATTACCTATGTGACCTTGAACATGAACTATATCTTTCTGGGCCTCAGTTTCCTCATTTGTAAAAGAAGAGTATTAATCCAGAAGACCTCTGAAGCCCTTTCCATTTCTGGATTTATGATCCTGTGACATGTGTGACCTCGAATGAGTCACTTTACCTCTCCGAGGTGCCTTTCTGTAGAAAGGCTTTGACTTAATAATCCCTAAGGGTCTTCCCGCTCTAATAGATGCTTCGTTGAGAGTGGAAACCACACCCTGCCTTCTTATTTCCAGCCCTTGCTGGACCTGAACATAGTAATAATGATTTCTTTCGGGGGGGTTGGGAGGAGGTGATCTATAATTTCGTTGGTACAGAGTACTCCCAGTATGGAGACTTCCTCTCCCAATGCAGACAAGCATCTTCTGGGCAATCTTTAGCCTTAGAGTGTGATTGGCCAGCAGGTATCTTAGGCCAGCCTTAAACCCAGGTGCCCACCCCCCGCCACCCACTACCTCTCAGGAATCATGTTAGCTATCAGGGATGCTGACAGAGCTAAGGTTTATGGGGTGACTTATGGACATTCATCTCCTTTCGATCCTCATCACAGCCCTGGAAAGAGGATGTTGAGGTTCAGAGTTTAAGGACCAGCCTAGGATCACAGAGGCCAGCAAATGCTTTTGTCCTTGATCGGGAAGAGAAACCAGGCTGGGAAAGATAGGGGCGGTGGGAGGGAGGGGATGGAATTGTGTGTGTGTGTGTGTGTGTGTGTGTGTGTGTGTGTGTGTGTGTGTGTGTGTGTAAGTGTATGTGTGTCTGTGTCTGTGTGTGTGCTCTAAGGTTGAAAAGGGGAGGGGACAGTCCTGAGACCTGGGATAACCTGTCCTATGCCTGAAGGCTGTCCTCTTCCTCTCCTTCATCTCCCTTCTCCTCTCCTCCTCCTCTTCTTCCCCCTCCTCCTCTCCACCCCTTCTTTCCTACTCCTTTCTTCCTCTTCTCTCTCTCCTCCTCCTCACCTCCCCTCCTTTATTTTTTCTCCTCTCCTTCCCCTCTCTTACTCCTCCCCTCCTGCACTCTCCTCCTCCTCCCCTCCTCTTCCTCTTCTCCTCCTTCTCCCCTCCTCCTCCTCTTCTCCTCCTTCTCCCCTCCTCCTCCTCTTCTCTTTCTCCTCCCCCTCACTCTTTCCTCCTTTTCTCCTCTTCCTCTCTTCCTTCTCTCCTCCTCTTCCTCTTCCACAGCCCAGAACCTAAGCTGGACCTCTACCAGATCTACATAACTTTGCATTACAAATAAAGGTGGGTTTGCAAATCTTGTTCTTGAAATGCCCGAGAAGTAGAGATCAGGAATGTAGCCCAACCTGACGTCCTGTGGTAGTAGCAGCGGAAAAGGGTGGAAAATGGAAGTGTTTGTGGGACCTAGAGAGAGTGGCAGCAGAGAGTGGAGCATGGTGGGTAGAACATGGAGACAGGGAGACGAGTTCAAATCCTGCCTCGAACACTCACAGATCCTGGATCTAAAACCGGTCTTTTATAGATGAGGTAACAAAGTCTAGAGTTCCAAGTGACACACCCAAAGTTGAGATAACAAAGCCCAAGAGTTCCAAGTGATGAGACTAAAGTTACTCAGGGGGTAAGGAGGAGCCCTGGGAGCTGGGAGAGTCAGGGCTTCTGACTTCAGAGCCAGCTTTCAGATTCCCACTCACCTGCAGCTTGGAGACACTGACAGCTACTTGAGTCAACAGGTATTTATTGAGCACCTGCTACAGACCAGGAACTGTGGTATGCGCCAGGGACACACACACAAAAGGCAAAAATGGCCCCAGTGCTTAAGGAGCTCTCATTTCAGTGGAGAAGACAGCAGGCATATGAGATATCTCCAGCATGAATTCTGGGTAATCCCAGAGGGCAGGAGGCACCTGGAAAGATTTCCTGCAGGAAGCCTGGGAGACCAGAGAGTGCAGGTGAGGATGCAGAGCATTCCAGGCTTAGGGAACAGCCATGACCGGTGCCCAGAGATGCACAGGAAGGGGGTCTCTGAGTATGGAGAAGGGGAGTACAGCATATAAGGGGCTCAGAAAGGGAAGAAGTGGCCGAGTTATAAAGGGCTCTAACGCCAAATAGGAGAGTCTCTCATCGATCCTGGGGGTAACAGGGAGCCCCTAGAGTTCATTGATTTGGGAGGGTTGGGGGAGGGGACACATGGCCAGACTTGGGGTTTGGGAAAATCACCTTGGTAATCATGAGGAAGGTGGATTGGGGTGGAGAGAAACTTGAAACAGAGATCAACCAGAAAGCTGAGAAGAACTGGGGGAGAGAAGTGACTGAGGGCTGGGGTGGGCTGAGAGACTCAAAATAAAATAATCAGTGAAAACATGCTTTGAAAGTACTATATAATTGTTCATGGAGAGATAGAATGAGGGTAGTAGAGAGCAGACCCTGGAGTCTGGAAGGCCTGAGTTCAAGTCTTGCCTCTAATACATCCTGGCCTTGTGACCCTGAGGCAGGTCACTTACCCACTCAGTGCCCCCACACAACTCTTTCAATGAATAGCTGATGCTTTCCCATGACTAGCTGATCTGCATCAGTGGAGGGAATTTTCCACACTGGGAGTTTCCTATCTGAATTAAATTATAGAAGTTAAAATAAATGACATAAAAATAAAATTAATTAAAATTTAAGACAAAATTCAAATAAATACGTGTTTTATATATTTGACATATATTTGTGATGCTGTGTCCATAAAGCATCTTCAGATCAGTGAATAGTTGTTCATCGCCTCCCATGTACAAAGTACTTCTTGAGATACATCGTTGTTGTCGTCCTTCGTTCTCGAAGAGGACCACGAAGTCAGGGAGGTGATGCCATGACATGCAAGTGAGTCGGGTCTAAATGAGGGAGGGCTGTGCAAAGTCACCGTAGACCAGTTAAAAGACATTCCCTGCACTGTCAGGAGAAGCCCTGAGTCCAATCCCCCTCTGACTATCGCTGCCCTTGTGACCTCAGACCCATCCTCAGTCCTCCAGGCCTGCGTTTTCTTTTCTGTAAAATGAAGGGCTTGGGGGGGCTCCGTGGGCTCTAAGGTCCACGCCAGCTGCAGGCCGAGGATCCCATGATCCAGTAACCCCATATGGTCTGGTCCTCTGGGAGCTTTCCAATCGGGTGGAATGTTTACTTTGCTAGGTGCGTGTGTGTACATCTGTATGCATGGGGGGAGTTATCTACTGGAGTTTGTGTAGGTGTGCCTTGAACCCCTCCTATTATCTCCGGGTCTGATTCTTCATGACTCCATTTGGGGTTTTCTTGGCAAAGATATTGGAGTGGTTTGCCATTTCCTTCTCCATCTCATTTTACAGATGAGGAAAGAAACAGAGGCACAAAGGGGTAAATGACATGCCCAAGGTCACACAGCTGGCAAGTGTCTGAGGCTAGATTTGAACTCATGAAGATGACTTTCTGACTCCAGGCCTGATGGTCTATCCACTGTGCCACTTAGCTGCCCCAACCTGGAGAATGCAGATGGGGGAGATGACTTACCCTATATTCAGCACAGAGGGAATACAATGACCCATAGTCACTTCCCTCAAGGCTGTTACAGGCTCCATGGAGGGGGCAGACCCAGAAGGCACCACAGAGGTCACTGAATCCAACCCCTTCCCCCTCCTCCTCCTCCAACCTCTCCTAGATCACAAAGGTAACAGGTGGCAGTGTTGGAATCTGAACCCAGATCCTGGGAGAGACAGTGCTCTCTCCATTGTCCCCTTGCTGCTTCTCTGTAGAACTCTGTAGAACTAAGCTGGACTTGGCTAGGCGCTGGAGACTCCTTAACCCTTCCTCAGGTCCCCAGGGAACCTCAGGCAGGCCAAGAAATCCTTCCTTCTGTCTACTCGCTCCTGCTTTAACTGAATCTGGCCCCCTTCAGCGTGGCTCAGAGTAGAGATGAAGGAACATCTGATAACCTTTGGGACGATCATGACTCCCCCATGACTCCCCCACCCCGCCGTGCACCCTTTTCTATGAATCGCATCGAGATGCTGGAATGGCTGCAGTTTGGACATTTTGCTCCCAGCCCACACCAAAGCTGACTCCTCTGCAGGTACAAGCAGCCCTGTCCAGCCCTGCCTTTCCCACTGCCCCCTCCTCCACTGGGCTTGGCCAACCTTTCTTCAGGTACCAACTAGTTCTTATTAATTTTGAGATTTTGGAAGGGACCTTAAAGATCATCTGGTCTGACCCCTTTTACAGAGGAAGAAACTGAGGCTGAGGAGAGTGAAATACCCAAGGTCACCCAGGTCAGAGTAGCATAAAATGAGATAATATTTATAAAGCACTTTGAAAACCATAAAATGTTATATAAATGCTTGTCATCATTATTATTAGCACCAAAGGGTGACCAGAGCTAGGATTCTAGGGGCAGCTGGTTGTGCAGTGGATAAAGTGTTAGGCCTAGAGTCAGGAAGACCTGAGTTCAAATCCAGCCTCAGATACTTACTAATCACTTTAAACTTTGTTTTCCTCAGTTTTCTCCTCTGTAAAATGGGTGTTAATAATAGCAACTACCAGGGACAGTTAAGTGGTGCCATACCTGGTAGTTGCTATTATTAGAAGACCTAAGTTCAAATCTGGCCTCAGACACTTGACACGTACCAGCTGTGTGACCCTGGGCAAGTCACTTAACCCCAATTGCCTCACCAAAAAAAAAAAAAAATAGCAACTACCTCCCAGAGGTGTTGTGAGGATCAAATAAGAACATTTGTAAAGCACCTGGCACAGTGCCTGGCACATAAGAGGTACTGTGTGTGTATGTGTGTGTACATATACATATACCATATATGTATATATCACATATATGTATATATACTTGCACATATATATGTTAGTATTATTAACTCAGACCCTCCAGCTTCAAATGCAGGCTAGAATTAGAATTATCCTTCTCTCACCAAAGCTGAATAGAGCACTGGGCTTACCATTAGGAAGACCTGAGTTCAAATTTAGCCTCAGACACACACTGTCTGTATGACCCTGGGCAAGTCCCTTAACTTTTCGGTGCTCCAGACAATTCTCGAAGACGCAGAGACAGTGTTGACCTGACCTGCACCAGCAGAGACTTTCCTCATCTGGGAAAATCCTTCTAATCGATGAAATCCTAAATCCAGCCTCCATCCTTATCCCTTCTGGTGTGCAAGGCACCAGGACAGGTCCCTGGAGTATGGATGACAAGGAACTTATACTTGATTGTCCATAAGGACACAACAGGGAGTTAGTGGACAGGCATCTATTAAGTGCCTGCTGTGTGCCAGACATGGTGCTAAGTGATGGGGATACAAAGAAAGGGAAACACACAGCCTCTGCCCTCAAGGCGCTTACAGTCTAATGCAGAAGGCAACATGCAAACAAGCATGTTTATGTATATATGTATATGCATGTGTGTACGAATCTTGTATGCATATGTATATAGGTATGTATATCTTGTATATATACTTATATATGTATATTATATATACTTATATATGTATATACATAAGCTATACATACATACACACATATTTACACATATACATATATATATATACATATATTATATATTTTATATATACACACACACACACACACACATATACATATATACAGAGAAAGAAAGAGACTCATCTTCCAGGAAGACTCATCTTCCTAAGTTCAAATCTGGCCTCAGACAGACCCTGCTTGCCTCAGTTTCCTCATCTGTCAAATGAGCTGGAGAAGGAAATGGCAAACCACTCCGGTATCTCTGCCGAGCAAACCTCAAATGGAGTCATGAAGAATCAGACATGACTGAAACTATTCAACAGCAGTATATAAAGATATAAAGATATGCATGTATATTCTATGTATATACATATGTCTATGTATTATATGTCTATGTACATATGCATGTGTATGTATATATATATGCACACACATAAATATTCGACATATACTCAGGGTAAATGAGAGACAATGGGAGGGGCTGTACTAATAGTGGGGAGGTTTGGGGGAGGGGAAGAGAGATTGGGAAATGCCTCTTGAAGAAGGTAGGGTTTGAAGGAAGCCTTGAAGGACGCCAGGGAACCTAGGAGGCTGAAGGGAGGGGAGAGGAAACACTAACACCTGGATTTGGTAGGAAGTTGTGGGTAGGCCCGGTTTCTGTTTTGTATCCCCAATATCTCCGACAGTGTGTACACATATCACAAGTGTTTTAATAAATCACCCAAGATGTATTAAATGCCTCCTTTGCTTCCAGACCCTGTGCTGAGGGCTCCAAAGACAAAAAAAGGAAACAGTTCTTGCCCTCAATTAGCTTACATTCCATTGGAAGCAACAATGTATACACATAAATATATACAATCAATGCAGGGTAAATGTTCTTTAGGGGAAGGGAAGCAACTGGAGGAATCAGGAAAGGCCTTGCTAGGAGATGGCACCTGCGCTCATCCTTGAAGAAAGGCGGGGATTCTAACACGTGGAGCTGCCAAGAGAAGCATTCTAGGCATGGGGGGCAGCCGGTGCAAAGGCCTGGAGATGGGGATGGAGTGTTGCTGGTTTGATTGGCCTGGAGAGGGCCTACTAAATATGTGTACAAAGCAGGAGGATGCCAGATTGCGGAGTGTTTCTGTTTCTCCACAGGTTGTAATATAGAGCTTCATGGAATTGATGGTGCTGAGGCTGAGGGACAGGAAGGGCTCCTAGCAAGAAGTAAAATCTGACCCTTCCTCATCAGAGTCGGAGGATGGCCGGTTCCTCCTGAGCCTGCAGGGATCGATGGGCTTTGCTGTGCTCCGTAGACAGCTTTCTCTTCCCGAGCTCCCACTTGGTATCCTGGCGGGTGCACAGATACCTAATACAATGACTTGCCCAATACATCACGGAGGGACGTGTCACAGAGAAGGCTGTGCCCAACCAGTTCCTGCAGGGATGGATATAGATCACAGAACAGAGCAAAATAGTCTGTGTTCAGCAGGAGATGCGCCTGTCTGAGAAGGGTAGAGCTTTTCCCTGCTTCCCTTGGGGGGTTGGGAAATTGGTGAATCCAAGGACTAATTCCTGGCATCTCCCCCTGAGATGGACAATTTGCAGTACATTGCTAATAAAAACAACAACAATAATAATGACAATAACTGACATTTATATTGTACTTTAAGGTCTGCTGAGTAGCTGAGATAGGGTCAGGGGTAACGGGGATGGTTTGGGGGTCCAAGGACCACATGCCAATAAATGAAACCTCCTTGTTTTGAAAAATATTGCGTATTGAAAAATATTTGTATTTATCCTCAGCTCTTGGAACATAGTAGGTGCTTAAGTAATGCTTGTTGAATAGACATGGAATGAGTTCAAAATAATAATGATAATTTAATATTATATTTTATTACATAGTATATTAATATTTACTTAATTATTAAATTTAAGCTTATTAATTAAAATATATTGTGTAAGTATTTATATATATGTTTTTGTTCTTTTTAGAATGATATTTATTATTGTTTAAGGATAAAATAATAACATCTAATAACTTGCATTTATATAACATTTTAAGGTTTGCAAAATGCTTTTATGGATATTATCTAATTTGATCCTCACAACAACCCTGTGAAGTAGGAAAGGAAAAAACAAGAGGGAAACAAGCATTCACTACATACCTACTATGTGCCAAGGTCTGTGCTAAGCACTTTACAAATACCTCACTTGATCCTCACAGCAATCTGGGAGCAGGTGCTATCATTATTCCCATTTTACAGATTAGGAAACAGAGTTAGACAGAAAAGTTAAGTGATCTGTCCAGGGTTACATAGCTACTTAAGTGTCCAAGGCAGGATTTTAATTCAAGTCTTCCTGACCCCAAGTCTAGC